CCTCTTGACATCTCCTGGTGAATTATGTCATCTGCTGCAGGACTGTTTGGTGCCAGAGTCAGAGGGTTAAAATCGGCTTGATTTGGGAGAAATTACCAGAATAACCAAAAACCAAACACAATTATCTTAAGTTAATTTATCAATAAATGGCCTTTTTTGTTTCATTCCGACACATCATTATTGTAATATAGTGATATAAAATTACATTTAACATAATGAAGAAAAAAGAATCATATATATATGTCCATATATAGTTCATTTCTTTAAAAGAAACTGCTTATTTTTTTGCCATAAAAAATAACAAAAAAACAACTGTTTAAATCAGAGTTTTGATAATATTTCACATCCAAGCAATCAGATGCTGTAGAAACGTGTGAATCGTGCGCCAACTTCAGTTTTATGTGCAATTTGCAGGGAAAATGTCATTTGTGAAATGTGATTCTTCTACAGTCTGTGTCAACAGTGCTCACAAGTCATTTTTGTTAGATGAGCTGGTTGAGGCTGAATGAGCGGGTACAGTAATACTTAGTAATACTTGTCTGATGCTTTATTCATAAAATACACCAAAATAAAGAGTCATTTTACTACTGTAAACTTACTTGGGGACAATTGCCTCATATCTCTTGGGAAATAACTGAGCCATATGCTCTCTATGCTTTTGCACTTGCATAGCAATATTGTTCCACAGTAATCACAACACTTAAGAGGCTGTGGAGCTTACCATAACGCTCAGGCAGGCCTGGGTTCAAATCCACCCCGAGAGCATTTACTGCATGTCTGCCCCCTGTTTTCTTTTCTCAGTCCTGTCTTCTCTCCACTGTCCTAACACAATAAATGCCAAAAAGCCCTAAAAAAATATGTGTAGCCTGGAGAGAGAGTTAAAGAGAGAGGGAGAAATAAAAAGGTGGCAAAGCGGGTGGTTAAATGATGTTATGAACAAGGAAATAAACAAACATTATTTAAATGTCAGCGTAATATTTTTCATAAATTGGCAAACGAGAGTGAGTGAGGGCGGACAATGGGAAGCGACAGAATGAGGCAAAAGTCATTAGAGAGAGAAAGACTGAAGACAAATGAGGCAGGAAGCACTTGCTTATGTAACTGTCATTGCCATAACACTCTCTGAGCCCCCACGAAGGTCGAGCTATCCATGAGGATGAAGAAGTGCTGCAAGGACATAATTGTTCTATATAATTCAAAGTATCACCACACAGAAATCAATAAAGTCATGATTGGTCACATGGGTAGAGCTTACGTACATTCCCTGCCAAACACGCAGGCACACGGGAAGATTTGAGTCACTGCTATTATTATCTCGGATATTAAAGATATATGAGATATCAAGCAGAATCTCACAGCGGGATGTTGTGAGAGGGGAAAGAGGAGAGAGGATTTGTGCGCGTGTGAATTATATATTATGTGCTGAGCTAAAAGTGTTTTGTTTTTCCTTACAGGTGTCTTCTCTAAAGTTTCAAAATGGAGTCCACTCACCTCTTGGGTGGCTCTAAGAAGAGAGTAAAGATCCACCCTCACACTGTTACAGCCAAATATGCCACCCACACACCCTATGCCCCCCAGCCAGGAGTACACACACACTTTCCCCAACCTGGGGATGATGGCTATGACGATGCTCCGTCTTTTGAGGACTTTGGCTCATTCGTGGAGGAGACGTCAGATAAGAAACAACTGACAGAGAGCAGGAAGTGGCCCCTGACTCTTTTTGGCTCAAGACACAACGACAAAGATACAGCCCACAAACTTCAAACCGTGGGGGGAGGAGAAGGGAGTGAGGGTAGTGCCAAAGCAGCAAAGGGGTCTGGGAAAGGGGTTGGGGAACAGCTAGCCAGTTTCGGTGAGGCTTCTGTGTCTGCATCTCGACTCACCTGGGTGGGCCTGCTCGGTGCGGCGCTGGCACATGGCAGCTTGATTGTTCTGACTCGAGTGGCCTCCGAACGCTTCAGCCTCGGCCCCCTGTTTCTACTCTTGGTTCGGTCCATCGTACAGCTCCTGTCTCTGGCTGTACCACTGCACAGGGGGGAGAACCCTTTTGGGCCAGAGGGCTATCGACTACGTCTACTCTGTTACGGCATCGCCTACTCCCTCTCCCTTTGTTGCGCCTACTCTTCCTTAACATTCGTCTCTCCTGGAAATGCTACAACAACCTGGCGTCTGGCGACCACAGCACTATCAGCGACCCTTGCCTTCCTGCTCTTAGAAGAGAGGCTGGGATTGGCTGATGGGATCACCATAGCTGCAGGGCTGTGTGGCTTGGGGCTTGTGTTACTTACTGCAGTAGATGACACCAATTCAGATTCGCCAACTGATCCGGCTGTGTTCTGGAGGGGTGCATTTGGATGGTCTCTTTCAGCGCTTGCAGGGCTGTGGATGGCACTAGCGTTGGTTGGGTATCGTTCCCTGAAGGAGAGGGTGGGAGTTGGGACTGCTTTGTTCACAGTAAGCTGGACAGGCTGCTTACTTGCCCCAGCCTCTCTGGCCCTGCTACAAGAGGGCTGGTCCTGGCCAATGAGTGTTGAAGCCTGGTTATTGGTCTTGGGCCTCGCAGCCTGCTCGGTCGTAGCCTTCCTGGGAATGACGCACGCTCTCACCCGACTCCACCCGGCTCTGGTTTCCGCCTCTCAGAGCTTGGAGATACCCATCGCCATGCTCCTGCATCTGGCTGTACTGCCACTGGCTCCCACTGCACCAGAGGTCGTGGGGAGCGTGATGGTCATCCTGAGTGTCGGTTGGCTGGTAGCAATGAAGCTGCTCCCCTCTCGAGTTGGTGGGCGTCGGCAGAGGGAGGAGTATGAGGAGATTCTGGACTCTCCCATCAAATAGACACCTCCTCTCACCTTGCAGCACTGTCACTCTTATCGTTCACTTGCTCCTTCATGAGATTGTTTCCAGTGTACACGAGAGACTTCTAAGTGTTTATTGAAGCTTTTTTTGGTATCATCTTCTTTGCTTTTGGAAAAGTGCCAACATGGTGTTGTCTGTTACAGTGACCAAGTGATGTGATATTAAAATCTCTGATGAACACAGCACATTTCTGTAGCCACTTGTAATCACTATCACCCTCTTTCCCCCCCCACCCCACGTGTGTGTGTGTGTACTGAGTACATTTAACAATCAATGTGATGTCAGTCACTTTTTGCTGCCAAATGAGATTCGGCCAAGGACTGCTGCCATCTATTTGCCTCTTGGCTGCCAGCAAGACTTAGAGAAAAGAACAGAAAAAAACCCTGGAAGATTGGAGGCTCGGGAGAGGGGCAAGACACACAATCAGAGGAAAACAAATGGGGACAGAGGGAGAGAAGATGATGGGATTGGCATACAGATAAGGAGCGGGTGGGTGGGCGGTGGAGGGGTGATGGCCGATGACAAAGCAGAGATGAAAGGGAAGCAGCAGAATGAGAGGATGTCAGGGTAGCAAGCAGGGCTGATGGTGGTTGGTTATTGTGGCGTGTCTGGCCAGCTGGCTGATAAAAACACTGTTTCGTGTGTTGGGGAACGGTTATTATGTCTAATAACGATCTGCATGACACATAAGCACCATCACTACATTTCTGTGTCGTTCCTCGTCTATTTTCCTCATCATTAACCTCCTGCTTTCCTCTTTGTTGCTCTTTTTCTCTCGATATAACTTCCATTCACCAAACTCCCCCATCACACATCGCACAGATGGAGACTTTTAATTAAAACAGGTGCCTCCACACTGAACAGACCAGCGTGTCTCTGTGCGTATGCCAGGTACCGCTGTGAAACAGGTGTAAAAGAATTGATAGGAGATATAACTTCTACACTCCTCTCCATCTTGTTAGTTGTATCCAAGGAAACGCCCCCCAAAAACAGTCTAATCCTGCATTTAGTTCTCGAGGCAGCTGTAGATTTAAAAAGAAGCTTTCATGCCCACAAACACTTGGGAACGGGAGTAGGCATCTGAAGACATTCATGAATGTTTCACTAGTGAAATGTTTCTGTGATGTCAGTGTGTTGGCCTCATTAAAATACTCTGTTGCTGCACTTTGCTCAGTGCTTTAGTGTGAGTAAGCACTGTGTAAAGGACAAACTTAACGTATGTTTACATTCTTCTTCTGCCTTTTAATTCTACACTAGTAAATACCATAGAAAAACAAAGTGCTTCATGTTCTGCTAAATTTATTTGCTAGCTTTAATTTTTACTTGACTGACTGTGATTTTATATACAAATATCATATTAAGAGGACTGTGAAACAAGTTAGTTTTGCCCTACTACTGATCCATCGATGGATGGTGGATTTCAAGCTCAATGATCACCTACAAATTTAAATGCTGCTGTTATCACCTAGGAGTGCTTTTGAACCACACCGACTATAAATTAAATATAAATTTAGCTAATAATAAAACGTATTTGGTTAGTATGACTTTAATTTGCACTGATGTACCTTTTGCGTAATTTCCTCTTTCATCTTAACAAAACATCCAAACAGAAGTGCAAGTACATTAAAAAAATGAATGAAAATAGGATTTAAGACCAAAAATGGATACACAGACACTGTAAAGTATACAGAAACTCCCTTTAGCCATAACAACAGTCAGTCTTTGTGGTTTTTAATAATGAGCACGCATTCACGTGTGTGTATGAAGCTGTAGGAGGCACTGGTGGCAGTGTAATACTTCTGGCAGGGTTTCACAAATCATAAACACTCCGAGCATCGTAAGTCGTAGCCTCTTTCTATTCAGACACTTTTAAAGCAGTTAATGAGTGGGAGAGACCTGCTATGAATTAAATAAAAATCCCAAATCACTGACACACCTTCTTGTGGGTTTGGGGATTTGCAGACCACACCACAACTACACAAACACCAAGGCAAGTGGTGCAAACTTTGGCACTTGTAGATAAAGCACATGTAGTAACCTAGACTAATGAAAGAGTGGGCATGGACGTGAACATAAATACACAGTTTAAAATTAAGTGACACTGTGTGGGAGGAGGGAGGAAACCTTTCCACGAGGCTGACTCAGTTGTTTAGTTAATTTTTATTCATTATAGCAAACCCATGACATTTATGGTACATTGAAACTCATTGTCACCAGACAAAAACGATCTCATGTGTAACAGAGGCTTTATAAAAAGGCAGAGCAGTAGAAATACAAACAACATGTGCAAAATCATCATCTGCAATAGGAGTTTTCCAGTCAAGCTTTTACTATTTATTTTTCCTTTGGGCAATTCATGTGTCTCCTCTGCCCTTTCCCAGCATGCCTACCTGCTCTATCACTTTGTTCAGCTGCTTATGAATCCTCTGAAGCTCTGTTGCTATGGCAGCCAGAGCACTTTCCACGGTGACTATGTTCACCGGCGAGGTCACTTCCTGCTCCTTCAGGCCAGATGTGAAGAGCTTCATTCCCAAACCGTCAGGTGTTGGTGTTGGCTGGTCTCTCATGCTGCTGTCAGCAGATGCAGATGAAATGATTTCTTCTAGCCTCTTCAGCCAAGCATCGTCCTGGTGCCTACCATGTAGGAGCATCCGCAAGGTTGCATTTAATCTTCTTTCCCTCTCTTCCTCCTCATCCCTGAGATCCACCAAACTCTTTTGCAGCCTAAGACTTGCCTGCTCTGCATGTACCCTGCAAGCTGCTTCCAAGCTGGGTGCACACTGCTGACACATCCCCTTCGTCAGCTTCTCCAGTTGGGTCTTAAGAGACGCCGTTCCCCCGCAGCACTGCTCCACAGATTCCAGCAGCATGTTTTGTCTCATGTTGGAGTCCTCTAGAGCGATAAAAAGTTTATCCCAGCGGGAGAAATCTGTTTGGCATGCTGCGGTTGGAGACTCACCTGCACACAACCATATAGATGCATCGATTATTCATTCCAAAAGGCAATTTAAGCATTACATAGAATTAACACATGCCATATATAACCCCAAAAAAAGAGATTTACTTTATTGTCATAATTTGACTGGACTTTATCACTGAAACGAGTACACGGAAAGAAGGCAAGAAGGTGTTCAAACTGAGCTTCTGCTAAACATACAGCAGTAATTAGAGTTGGATGTATTTCACAGATATGATGCCAGTTTAAGTTTGGACACACTGTGAAGTATGAAAATGGCTTTGGGGAGTTATTCAACACAGATGTAAAGGTCATGAAGAACACATAAAATACACGTGCTACAATCCCAAAATGACATCAGGGGACCTCATTAATTTAGGGGTACAGCAACGAAGTCTTTGAGATTGGACGCTCGAAGAAAACCGATGCAAAAGGGACCTGACAAACATCAGAGGGGGCTTAAACTGTGAAATGTCCACCTTCTGTAGGTATTTGAGGCTACCAGTTTGCATTCTTTACGTGGACTCAAATCACAGAGGTTCCTTATTGCCTGTGCTCTGTGTTCACGGTATGAGGTATGTGTTCCAGTTATTGGTAAGTCTGTTTCATTAAGTCTGATGCTCACCTGATAAAACTGTGAAAGCCAAAGATGGTATCATCTGAGTAAAAATATACTTTACAACATCAAGTATTTAAATATGGTGCATTATAATAAACTGGACCAAGAAATACTCTAGACCAAATTTAATAAACACAACTGCTGACCTTTAGACATATCTAAATCAGTGTGTTATTAAAAATTTAATCAAACAGTAAAAATTTTAATTAGCTCGGTTTAATAAAGCGTAGTAAAACTGAAGAGAAATTCATCACAATATCTTTCTGTTCAAACAAGCAGGGAGCAGAAAAGAGAAAAAAAAAGAGAAAGAAATAAAACTCACCCTCCTGCTGCTCCAGGGGGATCTCATTGTCATAGCTGTCTTCATAGATTCTTTCATACTCGATGTCATTTATACACAACGATGGACCCGTACACAGCACCAGGCAGATCCAAAACACATGCATGATGGAGTTCTTATGCATGTTTTTTCTTAAGATTTGTTGGGTTGCAGCGCATATATCTGAAAACATCAGAATCCTCTATCAGCAAGTTTTCCTGCTCCTGCACACTCCAGCTGCTCTGTCTTTACTTAGTCACTTACTTCACTATATGTAGAGCACTTCTGAGTTAGCCAACTATTGGAGCTGCTGGGTTATAAACCCTGAGAGAAGGAAGGAGGGGGGGACCAAGCTGGGGAGGGGTGGGGCAGAGCTGGTTCTGTTGAATGAGTGAGTAATGCTCCAGCGGAGGTAATATGTCATTTGGCAGACGTTGTGTCATTTTAAAATTTGTCTCCCAACCCAGTTTATTATTTATTATATTAATATTATATCATATTATTTGTTTAATCAAAGTCTGATATGGAAGATATCTTTACTGATATCTATAGATAAGATATATCTATAGATAGAGAAGATATCTTACTGATATATATTTTTTCTATATAACAGACCAGTAGTATAATAAAATATCTAAGTGTATAAATGTCCAAGTTCAGTGTAATTATTGCCAGATAAATGCATAGCCTTCAAATTCTTATTCATTAACAACGGCATTACATCATCACGGCTATATTTAAATTGATTTGAAGAGATATTTGTATGCTCTTCTAATTTAATTCACTTTTATATGTGTAGCACCATGACTTTCGCTCATATTATATAAAGACCTTCAGTGGTCCTCACTGAGCAAACTCCCAGCGACAACAATGAAGCAGAAATCAGAGAGGTGAATTATCTGCCTCAGCAGAAGATATATTTTATATCTCCCAGAGTTAGGCAGCTGTCATATTGTTATATTTACAACAAAAATATAACAAGTTAAGCAGAAGCAGAATGCCATATGTGTACATATGACATAATAACTACCTAATAAGGAAAAACTCATCTGAAGTCAAAATAAATACAATAAAATCAAATAAGTATAAATTGAAATAAAAATATTACATGCATAATATTTTTAAATATTTCTAAACTAGCAAAACAAAATTTAAATGGCTTAAATGTAGTAAACACAGCATGGTAAATATCAGGTACAATCAGAGAGAAAGCATAGAGATGAAAGTGTGCAGTAGTGAGACATAAATGCAAAGCAGAGCAGAGGGAAGGTGCTCAGCGCAGGTATCCAGATGCCTGAACATCTATAGCAGCACGACTAAGGCGGAATTCAGGGTCAACTAAGATAAGCCTAAAGTTTTAATCTTAAATTACCTCCAATAGCTATCTTCTGAACACAGATTGAAAACCGATTTCACTGAAGAGGATTCTGCCTCCCTTATTGCCCTTGGTGCTTTAACAGGTTCATAGATCAGGGTAATGTACTATGATGTCTCTGAAATACAGAGTTTTGTCAATAAGAGTTTTGTATGTAAGACCACAAATTGCAAATTCTATTTTGATTTTCAGGCAGCTGGTGAAGAGACACTACTACTGGACAAACATGATCTCTTTGCGATCAGTCAGTATTCCAACATTGCAGCATTTTGGAGCTCATCAGGGACCTATAAGGACATCCTATTAACAATGAATACATAAACATATGTATTAAATTTTAATCTCACAATAACAACTGTCCAGATAAGCATATACAACATGTCTACAACAGCAGCTGGGCTGTAGAACAGGTCATTTTAGCCAACAAGGCTCC